GAATTCTATTTTAAAATTCCTGTACCTACCTTATATATTCTACGCCCCTGATAGCCAAGAGGATCTTGGTCTACAGCAATGATCTTCCTGTTTTGGAGGATAGCCTTGTACTCGGGTCTAATTGTACGCAGATCGACAGACATCAGGAGTGGTGCAGCTAGGATGGCCCACAGAGCCATCTGTGTCTTACTCTGTTCATAGCTCAATCCGAAGTTCCCGATAATCAGCTATTCAAAAGCAACGCAAAATGTTAGAATTAGTTTCAAGCAACAGATAAAACTCTGTAAGAAAATATTATAATGGGTGGCAAAATAGAAGCAATATGTTTCTCCAAAAATTCTGGTATCTACCTACAAGTCCACAGAGTGTTACTAGCCAGAAGGCCAACACCGATATTTTTGCTGCTACAAGAACCTCAAATTTCATAAAATATACATTTCAATCAGAAATCTATTTTTACATTCAATGAAGTCCTCATGAGCAATCAGCCACATCAGGCGGTTGTAAAATACTGATGTTTTAAAAGTCATCTTGTTTCTCTTCATCAGGGATTACCACTTGATGTGGCCGACTTCAATGTATTTATTCATTGCGAAAGCTACAAATCGTACATCTACTTTTACATGTTTCCTCTCGTTGCCATAAATGGCATCATCTCAAGCATGACAAAACTACAAGAAGAAATGCTAACCCCTGCCACAACTTTTGATATTTCCAAATACATGTAAAAAATCAGAAAAATCAATTGTATCATGCACCAGAAAATATGATCTATTGTTTGCTACTCACCATTTATATGAACGTAAGCTAGTAAACATGAAATACAGTGGAAGTACAATAGGTTTGGTATAAATTTAACATCATTAACACACAACCGTGTCATTTTAAATAGTTACAGTATAGAACTAATGAGACCCCACTTCTTCCTCTGCAACATGTCTACAAGTAGACTCAAATACTGTTATGCAAATTTATTCAGAAAGCTGAACAAGAGATTATGTCTACTTAAATATAATATTGTATTGACAATGGGATTCCATTAAGTATTTGGAAGAAGAACATCCTAACCATATCTGGATCATTCCAATGTCCTGGTCCTGCATTTGGGACAATGTTATCCTGATTGTTCCCATAGTAATCAATAATGCTCTCCAAACTCGCCCACGAGTCCTGGATGTCATCGAAGTTACGCCACAAATTGCAGTGCTCAACAATTGATGAGTAATTTGGCTGCAAGGAAAAATAAGGCTAAGACCAAAAAACACAACAGACATTGCAGACAATGACCAGGGATTATCATTAATGTAAAATAAGTATTGTAATATTATTAGGTATGAAACAAAAGAAAAGCTAAAAATTAAGAACGATGATGGCTGTCTTCAGGGTTACTGCACCGTGTAGTCTGGTAGAAGTTTACCGACATTTCAGAAGTCCTTGCTGCCTCCATCATCACTGTCCTGATGATGAAAGCAGCAAGGACCTCTCAAATGTCACTAAACGTCTACCAGACTACAAGGCACAACGACGCAGAAGACATCATCTTCAGACTCACGGCCGTGAAAACCTCAAATCCTACTAAAGAAAATTAAGGCTGGCAAAAGGAGTATAAAATATCAGACATTCAAAATGATAATGTCTAAACAGGCCAAAGTGTGTAGAAAGAGTCTGTGATATAAAGTAGATGGAAGTTATGGTATTAAATCATAATAACACAACAGAAATAAATTTAATTAAGAAGTCATATCAAAGCTCATGCAAACACCCACAGTGCTGAAATTTCTGGGAGCTAAAATCAGAAGAGCAACGTCACATATTCATGGTATTCCAAAAATGATAATGATCTGACCTGTGCATATGTGCAAGAATAAAGATGGTACAATCAGCATACGAGGTGCGATCGGAAAGTTTCAAGACTGCGCCTATAAAAAAACCTGTACACTTATCTCAGGTATTAAATTCATCCATCACCCTCGAAGTAGTTCCCCTGGGAGTGAACACAACGATCCCAGCGCCACTGCCAAGCCTGGAAATCTTTCTTTGTCAGCCTGTCAAGCACCATCTGCGATTCTGCCTGAATCTCTTCTATCATCTCAAATCTCCTTCCCTTTAGCTGAATTTTCATCTTTGGGAAGAAGAAGAAGTCACACCGAGCTAAATCCGGCGAATAAGGAGGGTGTGGGATGACGGCCATGGTGTTTGATGCCAAAAACTGCCGAACTTTGAGGGCGGTGTGTGCTGGCGCGTTGTCATGATGCGTCGCATGTGGAGTTCTCCCTTTAGAATCAGCTGACAGGTCCCATAGCCTATCCCAACAATGTCGCACAAGTCGTTGATGGTACGACGTCGATCTTCGTGAATGGCCTGCCGAATCTTCGTAACATTTTCGGGCGTTGTGCGCGAAGATATTCCGAAATCGCAGGAGGGTCGGTGTAATGCACTACCAAAACGCCCGTAACTAAGAAACAAATGCTAATTCGATGATGCCGGCTGGCACACTGATTCACTATGAATGTAGGCCGCACCCCCTAGCGGCAGAAGCTCGTACTACATCCGGTTCGCCCGCTATTGACACAGTCTTGAAACTTTCCGATCGCACCTCGTATCTATAAAGTTAATGATATGAGCAAACTGCACTAATATGCTGCAAGAAACACCATTATGTTCTCCAAAATTTGAAGGAAAGATGCAAATAAATACAACAGAATGTGAGGGCTAGAAGAGGCTGTGAAGCGTATTCATTACTTTCTCAACACATTTATACTGAGAGACATAAAAATTGAATCTGCAACCACACCCCACATTCTGACTAGGAGTTTACTGGTAGAAATTTAATTTTAAAGTTACATATCTTAGAAACTGCTGTAGTCTTTGCAAAATGGCCTTATGTTCCACATCACAAAAAAGTTTTTCAATCATATCAAACCAGATGGTCTGTTCTTGAAAACTTATTAAACAATTTTATGTTTTATACTTAAATATACATAACTAAGTTTCAGAATTATAATTTCTGAAAAATTTCTAAGCTTCAATGATTGTGCACTCTCCATGTTAAAAGTATTTGGTCTGTAAAGTGCAATGAAAATTTAAATTTACAAATTTTCAAAGTTCTGGAAGCTTACCGACATTCCAGAATAAATCTGATATACAGGCCAACTGCAGGAGTAGACCATGGGCCGTCCAGTTCGGTTCAAATGGAAGCCAAACTCAGGGTATCCTGAAATAAATAAAGATTGTATAGAAATGGATGTAGGTGTCTGCCAGGAGAAACTGGCCGGAAGTAACAGCAATATATAATCTATCATATCATCAAAACACTGAATTTATGTCACAGCAAGAATTTTTGAATATCTGTAACATATAAAAAATAGAATAAAAATGTACTTGGATATTATCCATCGTCTAGTAAATATAAAACGTAAAACAACGTTTCGGAGATGGGACTCTATCTCCGTCTTCAGGTTCCTACACAGTTGGGCCCACTAGATAGAGCTAATCCCTATCTCCGGACAAAGTAAAAAAGTGAAAGTCCCGGAATAAAAAGCATTACCACACCATCCATCCGTGGGACAAAAAAGAATACGTCATTCTCATAACTGGTCATTTCTTATTTGAGAAACCTATGAATTCTTACCCACAGCCTGATACATCTGACTTGTCTGAAGCTCATTTGCCCAGGTGACACAAAGTCCAACAGATGCAGCACCTGTGATCCATATGGTTCAAGGACTACCTAAACTCCCTTCAGCAGCAGAAGACAAACATGTCTCTACTTTCATGGCAACTTGTGGTCATTCAAGAAGTTTTTCCTGGTAAGCACACACATGTACTAGTGGTAATTTTGAAGACATCTCACGGTGTAATAAAACTACCGATTCACAAGCTAGCGATGCTACAGCTTGAGAAAGACTGACATCAAACTTGCGAAGGTTGAGGATGTTACCAATTTCTAACGGCATCTGGTACATTCGTGTTTGCAAAAGATTCCTTCTTAGATGGTTTCTGTTATTCCAAGTTATTCATGTTTAATTTTAATGGTTAATTTGTATTTGTGCCAAATTGTGATTGGTTTACATATGCATCAGATGATGTCATTCTTTGTATACAGTTTTCCCCAAATCTCTGACTAGCTTGACCTTCTCTGATAACCTGCTTCATGTATCAGCATGGCCGCTGGCCATGATCAAGTGCTAGTTGGAGTCTAGTACTCTCAATTCATCTGCACAATCAAACAATGAATTCCAGATATACTATGCATGATAAGTAACACAATAAACAATAAATAATAAATAATGTGTGGAACTGAGGTTAAAACTTCAAAGCTACAAAAAAGCAGAATGGTTCAACACTAAAACAACAGACTGCAAATGGGCCTGGTAGTAAGATTATGGGAAAAAATAAAAAACTAATGGAGACGCAAAAGCCAATAAAAGATGGGCGTTTCCCTGAACATAGCAGGCATATTTATAACACTAACGTTCCTATTATTTTCCTTAATTTCCCTTAAATTATATACGTGAAAATGTTTTAAAATATATCATCTGAAAGGATGTTTTAAGTAGGAAGGCAGTATTATACACTTCTTTTCAAGGCGCTATAAGTCAGACTGTCATAAAGAAACAGACGAGATTCATCCAACTTGCAAAAATGTTGTTAAAACTTAATGACAAATAAATTATAAAAGTAAAAAAAAGTAAAGCTGTCCCACTATATGCCATGTAGGTGCTTGGGGGGAGTGGAGGTATAGCTCCTACTCATTCTTGACCTCGGCACTAGATGGGGGTGAGTGGTCAGCATCACGCCCCGGCTGGCTTTACCCCCGGGAAAGGACCCCGGTACCCATTGGATAGGAGGCTGGGTGGGCCCCAGAGCCGGTCTGGACGCAGAGGCTAGAGGAAAAATCCTCTGCCCCTGCCGGGGATCGAACCCCGGTCGCCCAGTCTGTAGCCAGTCACTATACCAACTGAGCTATTTCTAGGCGTTTGATTTCAATTTCCTGATTCATACACACAGAACTTTGACAAATAAATTATAGCAAATATAAATTCCTGAAAACAATCCTCTACCTAAATAAAGATAGATATAAGTTAACATAACTAATATTTACAGCCCAACAGGATATTAGAGTACCTAACAAAATGTCTAAAGTAAGATTAAGGTAAGGTTTGGATAAAACATATTAAACTGAAACTGTGAAGTTTAAAAAAGGAGTCACAATATTTTAATCAGACACTCCAGCACCTTCTAAGACATAAAAAATAAAAAAAAAGAACAAAATCAATCCAGGACAATTCTTTTGAAAATACAGAACTTCCAACTTCATAAACATGAAACATAGATTAACCAATACCAGGATGTTATCAACTTTACAAAAATGCACGTGTATGATAAAATATGCTGAGTCAGTGCCAAGTTGATACTATTCATTTCTGACTAGAACTTTAAAAGTTTTTTTAATCTCGATCACTTTGCAATGAAGAAAAAAGCACACCCAGTCATCTAAACTTTTTCTGCAGAACTGCCTTCAAGAAACCAGTTATACTACACTACATTGCCTAAGGAATTTCACAGTAAGATATGCCAAGTCTCTTTTACCTATATACACCTATTTTTATAGCATGTTTCAACATGATTCAGCTTTGTTAAAGGTCATCGCACACCAACGAGTTTTGGTCTAATAAGCAGCCACCATCTCTAAGTCAAGGTATGACACTGCACTATTCTAACAAAAACTGTTGTACAAAGACACTAATGGTTTGCAAAAGCACATCAGAGTGTCTTAATACATAAAAACTAAGAAAAAAGTAAAACTGTCCTGCTACACAAAATGTAAGTGGTTGAAGGGAGAGGAGGTATAGCTCGTACTCATTCCTAACCTCAGCACTAGATAGGGGTGAGTGGTCAGTGTCATGCCCTGCCTGCGCTTTACCCCCGGAAAAGGACACCGGCACACATTGAAAAGGAGGCCGGGGGGGCCCCAGAGCCAGTCTGGATGCAGAGGCTAGAAGTAAAACCCTCTGCCCCTGTCACGGATCGAACCCCGGCCATCCAGCTATAGTCAGTCACTATCTGACTGAGCTTCCCTGGCTCCATCCCACTTTTTACAACACACAAAAAAGATGCTGTAACATGTTTCAATAACACTTTCTACTGATAAAAAAACTTACTGCAACATAATTATTGTATTAAACTAAAGACGCTAATGTGCTTATGCATTTTCTTTTTGAAGTAAAGTAGGAGGGCAACGCTGATATCTGAGTATATTATTTATCATATATCAATAAAACTTTGATAGCAATGACAAATGTGTGTGTGTGTGAACTGACATACCTGAGTAAATTCGGTAAGTAAATTGACCCCTTTTGTAACACAACATAACAGTAACAACACCCTATTTTACTTAAATTATCTGAAGACTGCCTGAAGTTGCAACTCCAATATTAATACTCTTAAAAGTCCTTTTATACTGGTAATGTGTGTGGAGTGTCATACTTGCATACGAGGTCTGTCCAAAAAGTATCCGACTATATTTTTTTCCCGCAGTAAGTAATGGCGAAAGGGTGGAGAAACTGAGCGTAGTGGTAGAAGGGACTTTCATTCGTATGTGTGATTTTTTGCTTCTCGCAGCACCGCTGCCAGATAGCGAAGTGGTGTAACACGTGTTCGTCGCATTCTCGTTTCGCTCAAGAGCTTGGAGCAGCGATATTGCATCAAGTTTTGTCAGAAACTTGGGGATAACCAAGCGGATGCAATGGGGGTCACTCAAATTAAAGAGTGGTTCAACCGCTTTAAAGATGGCCGCATGTCAGCGGACAGTGACCAGCGTTCTGGGAGACCATCAATGAGCCAAAATGCTGATGTCATTGACAAAATGCAAACAATGATCATGGAGGATCATCGTTTGACCGTCCAGGAAATTGCTGATGAGGTTGGGATCGTTAGGGGTTTTGCAAACACAATTTTAACTGAGGATTTGGGCATGCAAAGAGTGGCGGCAAAATTTGTGCCCAAGCTTCTTTCGCCAGAGCAGCAACAACTCCGCCTTGAGGTTGTGCAGGACATGCTGGAGTGCGCCAACAGGGATCCTGAGTTCCCTACTCACCTGACATGGCTCATTTTGATTTCTGGCTGTTCCCGAGAATGAGGACACTGCTAAAAGGCTCCCGTTTTGACAGCCATGAGGACATTATACAGAACGGGTCGGCGCAGCTGCATACCATTCCAAAACAAGCCTTCCAGAATTGCTTCCAGCGATGGAAGCACCGCTGGGCAAAGTGTAAGGAGCCACAAGGGGCCTACTTTGAAGGGGATTAGGTATTGTAACCCCCCCAGATACAGAACTTTGTTTTCCCGGCCCATGGTCGGATACTTTTTGGACAGACCTCGTATATTAACAGTTATGAGATCATAATTATATATTTTTGTATTCTTAAGAAAACTGGCTTCCAACATCAATATTGCAAATATGCCCTATAAGTATTCTTAAAGATCTGAAATTTGGGGGTAAAATCATGTGCATGCAACAGGTTGTTTTAGAAGTATGACAGTCTACACCTGGGGAAATGCCTTCAAAGATAATTCACAGAACACTCTCAAAATGCACATGCTAACTGTGAAGAGACTATACTTTCTGCATACAAAGCTGTACAAAAAATGGTGATACTGAGCACAACCAATTAATCCAAAATGTTTTCACTTGGCCCAAGTGTAAAACAAAATTGTTATCTTACCTCTGTCCATGTCACGAGGATGGGAATAACAGCCATCCAGTTTGACGTAATCAACGTTCCAACTGGCGAAGGTATCAGCATCAGTTTCCAAGTAACCCAACACTCCTGGATAACCTGCACATGTGTAGTTCCCATAGTCCTCATAGATTCCAAACTTCAGCCCTTTTCCATGAACCTATACAGTAAAGACAAGTGACTGTAAGCTGCACTAAATAAAGTACAAAAATTACACTGTGCCTACTGCAAAGCTAAGGAAAAAATAACTAGATGTATTAAAACTGCAACTCAATAACAACTGAGTGAGAAGACATGTTGTATCCATGGGGAAACAGCCAGAGTCAAGCCTTGGCCTCCTCTCATGTGGGAGGTTTCTTTGTCTTTGAAGTGTGCATTATGAGTAGTGAGTGACAATCCTAATTTTCCTGCTAGAGCTATCTAGTAGTGAATCAGGAGAGACTGGTGAGAAATGCCCCCTGAACTTTCCTTACAAAACATCTTGTTCATGCTTGTAAGGTTCTTTTACATGCTGTAAATCTACGACATGGGATCACAGGCTTTACTTTCCCTCCAAAGGAAGTTGTGCTAAAGATTTATATCACCCTTAAAAATCCATCGACCTCAGCCAGGTTTGAACCCACGAACCTTGGGTCCAGTGGCGAGCACGCTAACCACTAGTCCACCGAGGGCGACACGTGAGAAGATATGGCAGAACACAATACCTTTTACTTTCAGTGCTTTATTGTCAGTATCAGTGGTGGAGTGGAAGGTTTGCTCCAAGATGAGATGGAGATGGAATGATAAAGATGACTAACGTGTGTGTTTGCATATTGTACGTTAGTTACTCATAGTGTGTGGATAAAACTTTCATTACAATTTGTAACTATTCTATCATAATTCATGTAATGTGTTACCTGTTAATGTATACGGCTTATTCCAGGTACTTTAAATTTTCAAATCAACACTCCTCCCAGTAGGAGGCTTATTTACCATAACAGCCACAATGTGGAATGTAAC